TTTTTGGCTATTGCTACAAATATACCTGTGCTACTTATGACTGGTTTTGTGGTCCAGGGTCACATTTATGGGACAGTTGAAACGAGAATGGAACATAAAGGTAGAGAGGCTGTCATACTTTCTGTATAGACGCATACTTAACATTAAAGGAACACTCCACTATTTTTGAAAATAGGCTCATTTTCCAACTCCCCTAGAGTTAAACAGTTGAGTTTTACCGTTTTCGAATCCATTCAGCCGATCTCCGGGTCTGGCGGTAGCACTTTTAGCTGTAGCTTAGCATAGATCATTGTCTAGGGGAGTTGGAAAATGAGCCTATTTTCAAAAATAGTGGAGTGTTCCTTTAAAAATATATTAGACATGCATACCAATAGTGGGGAATGTTTTGTCATTATATGGGGTACGTTGTCACAATCTGCCAGTTAAATAACCAATTATAGGAAAATTTACTCAGTAAAACGGTTATGCGAGTTATGAAAAACAACAGTTATTCATTAAACAGCAGAAATGTTAAAAGATAATATACAAAAATATAAAACCATTGTTTTGGCCAACAGAAAATTGTAATTAATATATGTACAGCTTATAAAACACATGTGACAACTTTTTTACTCAACAAATATTTAAAAAATATAATATTGCATTTTTAGTTTGGAGGACACAATTAACAAACAGTTTTTAACTACAGTAGTTTATACAGTACGACTATGATTTTAACTACAATACGAAGCCACTCCTAGAAAAACAAGCATTTGTGCAATTGATCTGAGACATTCAATCAATCAATCAAGGAATGTCATAAGTGCATGAAAACAGATGTCCTAGCCACCATCCGTCCAGCACTTTCTAACACGTGTGACATGTTGAATTGATTAAAGATGTTAATTTAAAGGACATGTTTACTGCTAAACAGAAGGGTGTACATTTGCTCCGGACAAATTTAATCTGTTATGAGAGAAACTAAGCACCATGCAGACACAACAAACCCTCAGGCTTTATGCACGCACTGACTATCACAGCAGGATTTTTTCCTGTTATAAACCCCTGACATTAACAAGCATCTGTTTTGTCAGTTGGCTAATATTATACTGTCACCTGACTTCTTGTTGGGACGTGAAGTTTCGATTTGACCGGTTTGAACGCATCAGTAGTGCTAATCACATGTGAGTTGTTGCAGGTTTGACAAGCGGTTTTGTTTCTACATACAGTCTGACCTCAGGGCACATGGGGTTGGAGCTTCGCTTGAGTCATGAGCTTTTTGTACATTGTACGAATAATAACTCAACTGCCCATCAGTCACAAGAGGAACAAGACAAAGACTTCCTAGAAGTGACTTATGCAGACAGTCTAGAAGATCTGGAATTAGATTACAAGAATTAGATGATTTGAAAAAAGTACAATTGCATCACAGCACTAAAAGGTGGAGAAGTCAGCTGTCTCCACTGTGAAACTGCGGATGTCTGTGTTAGACTAGACGATGTAGGGTTTCTCTTCCTTTGTTACAGTCTAGGTACAAAATGTTCTCTGACAGTGAGAAAAGCTCAGCTTTTTTTCCTCAATAAGACCTTCTTACATTTCTTGCTACAATCCTTGGTACTCATTTTGAATGTAAATTAAGCTCTAAAATATCTTCACTCCATGCTGACGTCTTTAAATGTCCTTGCTTTTAGGTGTTGATGACATTTCTATCTTATTTTGGTCCTGTTAGGGGTTTTTTTTTTTTTTTTTGTGATGTCATCAGTCACCTCTATTTGCATTCCCATGACGCCGGCAGCCAGACAGTCAAAAATAGTATCAGTGGTGATTTATTAAACACTGTCCAACTTCCTAAAGCAGGATACACCATGAATATTTGCAAGTGGATTTGCACCTGTACTGACTGTCTTTTTGAGTGAAATAATGAGATAAAGGAAAAGTTCTTCAGAGGTCCAAGTAAAGCACAAAGGCAATTAAAATGGTCGTATCATGAGGAATTGCATTTTTCTTAATCTTTTGGGATGCGTTCAATGTACATATGAAAATATACTATCTTTCAGAAGTTCGGGGTCGGCACAATCATTTTATGTTTTAGTAGGAAGTCTTTTAAACTTACCAAGGTAAGGTAGAGTAAAAACAGTAATATTGTGAAATGTTACTACAGTACAATTTAAAATAACTGTTTTGTAAATTAATATATTTTAAAATGTAATTTTTTTTCTATGATGGCAAAGCTGAATTTTCTGCGTCCATGTCACATGATCCTTCAGAAATTATTTTAAAATGCTAATTTGTTTTAAATGTTTAAAGTTACGGTGCAATTTGACTGTGCGAAGTGAGTGCAATTTTGAAAAGATATAAAATTGTGTCTGTTTGACCTTATATTTAAATTATTGTTGCGAGTAGATTTGTTCAAGACTAAAGTCTAGAATACTTTGATTTTAACCGCATCCTATTTCAGTGTCAGTCACAGGGATTGGCTCATCATGACAAAACTCCTGAAATTAAATGATGAATCGCTGCCAAAATCATATCTGGTGGAGAAAACGGTGTGTCAAACTGTGCTCAGTCGTTTAGAATAATCATTAAACTAATAGCTCATCCAGAAATGCAAATTCTGTCGTAATTTACTCATCCTCATGTTGTTTCAAACTTGAATGCCTTTTCAATATAACTTATATAGCTCTGATCAAAGCTGTGCTCTGGGATCCTGCGCTGCCTTAGCTATTCTCTTACATATCAGTTTTTATCAGATAAGCATGTAAAGTTAGGTAAATTCTTTGCATTGAGACCGAGAAAACCAAGGGGCTTGTTTTTTGGAGGAGAAAACGTACCCTGTTTTTTTTTTTTCCATTTATGGCTCGAATGCAAAGCAGCCAATAAACCGCAGACTACGTCATCTGTTTTGTTGAGTGTACATGACAGGCTTTGGCTCTTAAGCTTTGAGTTCATATGTTTTTCACGTTTTTGGCTTTGTTCTTCTTAACCTGCTCGTACAATTTGATTGGCCTCCCACACGTCCTACACCAGTTACATGATAGCTTCATGGATTCTGCCAAAACTTACAAGAGTAGGAGGAGCTTTGTTTGTGTAGGAACGCACCACCGTCAGTGGTCAAAGGAGTTAGTCTGTCTGTGTTAAGGAGGAGAATGAAATATAAACAGATCTTGTGTATCCAATACTTGGTTTCTCTTATTGACTTGCATTAAAAGGGGAGGGGCTAGATTAAGATGACTGTCAGACTGTCAGATTTATAATTATTGACATCTTTGGCACAAAGGATAGAACTTATTTGCACATACCTGATCATAATGCACCCGAAAGTCGCTTATTCATGTCAAGCTTTATCATTGAATTAAATAGGATTATCTGAGATATGTAAACATAAGAAACAACTCATTTTTCATATCTTTCTACATTAACTGTGTATTTGTACACTTTGTTCTCTGGAATATCGTAAAATCAGCAGTGCTGTAAAAACGTTAATCAAAAGCATACTGTTGTCTTCCCACCCAACATTTAAGGACTGATTTGAATCACTCATTAGGCATTCTTCTTGGCTCGGCTTCTCTTATAAACCTTGACTTTTATACTCAACCAGATGACATCACCGTTAGTTATCTTGTTGACTTTTATGGTTGTTTTTCTTCAATAGATTCCGTTAAGGGTTTGAGATGCCGCTGGTGTCGATGTAAACAAAGTAATTGTCATGGTTTTGTTTGGATTGTAATGATGGTTTCACTCAACAGGTGACTTACCTCAGCATCTACAGGTGATGATCAACATTCTTCGCTCTGAAGACCGCATCAAATTGGTGAGAGAACACATGTTGTCAATGACTAACATTTTGGCAGTAAGTTATATGCAGTCAGGCTGAATGGGTTTCGTTGTCGAAGTGTTGCCTGAAGACTGTTTTCTTTTCTATTAAGACGTTAAAATGTCATACCTGCTGTTTCAGAAGGTTCCATGATGAAATCTATATTAATACTAGTGTCAGTCACCTATGACGTGCATGCAGCTGGATTTATCTTCAAAAAGAACATTCTGTCACTATTCACTAAACCTCATGACATTCCAATCCCAACACAACAAAAGAATTTTGAAGCATCGATGACGTGGTGGCAAAAACATCATAAAAGTGGTTCAGTGTGACTCTTTTTGTATTATTATTATATACTGAAAATTTTCCCTTCTGGTATAGCTCTCAAATATGACATCAATCACGTTTGACCACAAAAACCAGTGACATTCGGTGTCAAATGGCATTGAGCATCATTCTTGGTAGTCCATTTTTAAGTCCATTTGAGCACCGGTAGGATCATCGGTTATCAAAAATGTCAAATTTTAGTCTGTTCCTCACACAAAGCAATGACTTTAGAATAGTGGTTCTCAAACCAGGGGCCCGGGGCCCACTGGAGGGCATCGCCAAACTTCCAAGGTTGCCCAAATAAGTAAATAAAAATATTTACATTTAGTAACATTAACACAATTGTAATTAAGATCCTAAAACACTAAATACAAAGTTGTACATCATTAAACTGACATTATTTGAGAATATATACAGTGGGTACGGAAAGTATTCAGACCCCCTTTTTTCACTCTTTGTTATATTGCAGCCATTTGCTAAAATCATTTAAGTTAATTTTTTTTCCTCATTAATGTACACACAGCACCCCATATTGACAGAAAAACACAGAATTGTTGACATTTTTGCAGATTTATTAAAAAA